ATATGCGCCAGTCCCCCATGATGGGGCCCAGAATCCTGCTGTAGGACCCCCAACTGAGTTCCTCCCTTCAGGCGGACTCTGCCGCCGTCATACTGGGCCACATATCTCCCTGCCACCAGTTCCCCTTCGGATGTGGTTCCCTCACTGGGACCTTTGGCCCACACTAGCCCCAGCCTACCTCCAGGCCAGTCGGGACCCCAGGCCCCTGGGCATCCCTCTTGGTGGGCCTCCTTGCCCTTCTGGCCCTTCTGGTCCTGGCCTCTGCCTGGGCCAATAAGGGGAAGCTCTGGCAGGCCTTGATGTATGACCCATACTTTTTTCCTGGGGTCCCCCTTTCTGGGTCCTCTTCCAAATATGTGGGGAGCTGGGGTTACCTCACACCACGACTGGTGCCTCAGGGTCTCACAGGGGACTCTCACTTCCCCCTTGGGCGGCAAGGTCATGGTACTACTCCTGGTGTTATATTCAACCCAAACTCTGCCTACCCACACTGGAGGGCTTACTGGGGTCAGGACTCAGCTCTCTCTCTCTGGCTGAGCCCCCTCTCCCTTCACAGAGCTCCACACGCTGCCCCCCTCATACTGGGGACTCCACAGGCTACCCTTCTCACACTGGGGGCTCCACACTGCTCGTAATGCCCCCTTTACTTGGGGTCTCAGGGCTTCCCTCCACAGGTGGGCTCAGGTGGCCATAGCCATACCTGGCCCAAACTCTCCTCTTCGGGGTCTCAAACCCACACAGGGCTCAGGCAGCCTTGGCCACACCTGGCCTCCAACTCTCCTTCTTGGGGCTTGCACCCCCACAACTACCACCGGTGTATGCAACTCACCCGAAGGTGAGGGCTAGGGGTTAAGGTGCCCTGACCCACCTTTCACTGGGGTGATCACTGGCCTGACATTTCCTGGGGGATCCCACGCCACTGGGAGCCCCACCAGGCTGCCCACTCCCAGCAGGATGTAGTTTCCGGTTGTACCCAGGACCAGGAGCCTCCTACCATCCCCTACAGCTCCTCCCTTACTTCCAGATGAAACTCAACAGCCCTCAGGCCAGGCGATGTTGTTGCCTGCTCACCAGCAGCCAAACTGCTTTGTTTATCTAGGTAGCCCTGAGTCTAAAATGGCTGCCCTCATTAGGCACCTAGAGGCTGCCAGCTCCAGGGCCTTAAAGTGGCAGGCACACATAGTGCCCTGCCATACACACCATCAGAAAACAAAGCCTCTCTCCATTATTCCAAGCTCTTCTTAAACAGCTTTTCCAAGGAAGGAACTGGTCTCCCACAGCACAGACTGTATCATGTGGTATGCTAGCTAATGCTGAGAGGTGTTTGTGTAAAGTACAGGGGCGGGGAGCAGGGAGAAGCCAAGCAGATGCCTACAGTCCCTGCCAGAGCTCCAGCCAGGGAGCAGAGGGGAGGGTCCAGCTCTACTGTGGAGCAGAAAGCCCTGCCCAGCCCAAAGAGCATGCTGGGGGAGTCTGGTTTAACTTAAACCAGCAAGGGGTCTGGGACAGACATTGCATAAACTGGTTTGACCCAATTCAGTTAAGTCTGATACTACATTCAACCAGGTTTATCTCAGATCAGTTTCAGCCATTTTCAAACTGATTTCTGTGCACTGAACATCTGTTCTGTTACAGGTTTAAGCCAGTTTCTGATCACTTAAACCAGTTTATGTGTAATGTCTGTCCCTGCCCAGGCGTTTGCACTGGGAGACTCCTAGTTTTCATGACCTGAGCTATCAACTGTAATGTATATTCTCAGCATGGTATGATGCTATTGCTTCCAGTGTTTTAAGCGAAGCCTCTGTGGATGGAAAATTCTGATGTGGTGACTGATTGTGGGCAACGACATTGTAAATAAATAGCAGTGATGATGAACAACACTGTTATCTGGCTTGAAGGAAGTAAGCAGTGAAGGTCTGCAGGCGGTGGACATGGCTTCACTCATATTTGATAGTAACCTGGAATTATGCACTTACAGAAGAGTGATTACATTGGCAGATGACGGTGAACTGAGAGAAATCACAAACATCAGAAAAGCAGCCCTGGGGGACCAGGAGAGGAGGGAATAAGAAAAGGGAATGTGTTCTTTGGAGAGGATAGAAGATAATTTGAAGTCTCATTACTCAGCATACAGGAGATACTAAAAAAGCATTCAAATCAAAAGGAGCCCTGGGACACATAGCAGGTTGCAAGATGGTTATGAACTCTCAGTAAAACCATCCTCCTAGATTGGTCTGAAAGGCTAAAAAAAAATGAAATCAAATGATATATACTTGCAACAAATATTGCCTGTGTAGGGAAGAGATCCTTTCCAGGCATTTTACAGGCTTTTCTGGTCACTGACAGGGTTGCTGACTGACTGAAGCTATTCTGGGAGACTTCCGCCCCCCGCCCCCAACATAATGTAATGCTATTAATTTCATTTTCTTAAAATATCCTATTAAAATCTCCAGGATTGCTTTCAATAGTCACTGGGAAATTGGCAGGGAGTCTACAGGAATCGACATCAATCTGGGAAGGTTGGCAATCCTAGTCACTGACTCTGGGTCTTAACTGGTAAAACTAATGCTGATGTGCTAAAATTTTAGGACCCAGGAAAGCAGGAAGAAGCAGCAGTGTACCAGGGACTTTGAGGGATTTGCAAAAAAGTACAATAACATTTAAACCAAACATTTTAGATGTTGAGATCTGGGTGTTGAAAAATAAATCAAAGTTCTCCAAAGAAAACAAATGCTTTTCCCACAAAAACCCCCAAGCTCCATGGGAAAAAGTTTCAAGAGAAAGATTCTGGCTAATCCTGTCGCCCTCAGGAGAGACATGGTCCCCCCTCCCTCACAGCATCAGAGAAACACGCAGCTAGAGATCTGCGTTCACTTGAGACAACTGAACCTGGAATATGACAAATTTCCCACAAAAAAAGATGGAGATACTGGAGGCTATTCAGGAAACAGTAACTTAGAAAGGGGCTGTAATAATTATGTTATGACTCACAGGTACAGGATACGAGTAAGACATATAGACAGTCACCTCATTCACTTCACTGCCCTTACAGGCATGACACCTTCATGCATGATTTCTAGGTTTTTTGCTCAATTTAACTTTAGATGTCTCACACGAGAGGCCTTCCCCACCTCTCTCAAAACTTCCAGGAGCATCTAGGCACTGAAGCAAGCAAGAGGTGGACTCCCCTGAATACACCCCTCAGAAAAGTGTCCTAGAGAAAGGCAGCAAAACCCCCACTAGGCTGATTTTTCAGTAATGGTTGCAATGAGGATTAGCAGCTGTGGTGGTTGCCTTGTCAGAAAATGAGCCCAATAAATACTACCCCCTTCCCAGTTTAATGCTATTTCTCCTCATTTTATATACCTTCATAGGATCAGTTATCCTCTCATTGGCATTTCCATCTTTCAGGAGTTTCCCTCCTTATTCACCTACACTTATGGCTCAGCAAAGCTATCCCCTTGGATCTCCCTAGACATCCCTCCAGTTTGCACTGCTCTACCCTGCGCTCTTCATTTTGTTCCTGGTTCAGGTACTGAAATGCTGAGAACAGAAAGCACTGCTCCTGGGGCTTTTGTAGCCCAAACACTGCTGCCCTCCCACTTTGCTTCATAGCATGGCATCTCTGCACATGCATCCCAAAATTGCAGTGACCTTTTTCTGCTGCAGATTTAATTATAGCTTGTTACTAGCTCTTCATCTCTCTTGACATTATTGCTGCTTCTTTCTCCCACCTCACAGCTGGGCTCTGGTTTATGTTTTTTTAAATAAACTTGTTCTTAAACTTCCCCCCCACCAAGCTGAGACCTACTCTTTGCCACCTGTTCCTCACTTCTCTGTCTCCACTAATGTTTTTCCCCTATTCTCATGAATGCTTGCAACTCCTAGTTTAGTATCACCTGCCTGCTTCTTGTAAATATTATGGGGGCAGGGAGCAAAAAGCAATCCCTACAAAAAGGGAGCTGCTACTAGACAAATGCCTTGGATTTGAGCTTCCTGCTCCCCAGCCCAGTATACTGAGAGCAAAAAGCTCAGCCCAAGCAGACTTTGTATAGGCAATGAAGGCACAGGCTGAAAGAAAATGCCACAAGAGATCAGTTCTGCGACATCCACCCTGGGAAGAGAAGGGCTTTTTCTCTCTCCTCCTTCCCTTTCCCCACTCCCAAACTTTCAGGAGAATCTGACCACAGACTTAGGTGAAAACCAAACTCCCTTGAGCACAACCTCTTACAGCTGCTTGGAGAAAGTAGCTAATGAACCCAGTTGGCCTGGTCTTTCTGCAGTCTCTGGCCTGAGGACCAGCAGCTGGGGTGTTTGCCCTGCTCAGCAAGAAAGACGTAATCCTTTCCTTCCCTCACAGCAGTTATTTTTTGTTTTTTGCTGAAAGGCATATTTAATCATGGTCTGTAATTATTTTGAGTTGTACTGGGGGCAGGAGGAGAAGGATATGCACATATGAAAAAGCATATCTTTCAGACCCCTCTTGATGTACAGAAACCGTATAAATAATTTGTGTTCAGCCCCACAATGGGCAGCGAAGTTTGATCTGTACTAAAACTGCCACAGAAGTGAGATGCTGGAGCAGGCCTCCTGTGTTTCGCAGGAGCTCGTGGGAGCCCTGAAAGTGGTGGTCCACAGACAGGTAGTAGCAGCCCAGGAGTGAGAGTGGCTAGGTCAGCTCCCTGGTCCTGTGACATCCCTCAGGCCGCAACCCCCAGCCCTGAACAAGAACTGCCTGGTGCCAAGACAAGACCCACTTCTCAGGTTTTGGAGTGAAAGTCCCACTTCAAGGAGTCCTTTGGGGACAGCACAAACCAGCCTGAAATACAGGACTGTCCTAAAAAATCCAGACGGGTGTGGTTGCTTTAGAAAGGCCTGCTTTAAACTATTGCCCTTAAGTCAATGTCTAAATTACTGCATTTCCCATGCATATGGGAGGGGCAGAGCCAGCCCCCTAGGAGAAGAAAGCAAAACTGTATTGTGTGGTTTCAGCTCCAAACAGATTTGATCTGGAAAGCAAAGAGAGGTGTATCTGCAACTCTCAGGAGAGGCACAAGAAAGGGCTGCAGAAACTACAGAGATTATTAAGCAGCAGAGCAGAAGAAGCTGGATGATTCTCTGAAGCAGTCACCACGTGATGTGCAAACTACAGCATCAGGGAAGAGAATCGAAACTAAACTCTTTTTCATTTCTCCAGGGAGATGCCTGGGACCAGTTAGGGCTGGGGGTGGAGATTTCTCCTCCTCTGGAGAAGTGTGTAGTGTTGCTCATTGATCTCTTTCTCTCTCCATCAGGCAGCCAGCCCTTCAGTCTCTTTTTCAGCTGCTTCTCTGAGGCTTCTGGCATTGACTCCTGAAGCCATGGCAGAGGCATCAGAACTGGGAACAGCTTCTAGTCTAGAAGAGGAACTCCTGTGTCCCATATGCCTGGATGTCTACAGGAACCCGGTGTCCCTGAGCTGCGGTCACAGCTTCTGCAAAGACTGTGTCCAGAAAGCCCTGAGCGCTCAGCAATCCCAGGAAGGCTCCTGCCACTGCCCGCTGTGTCAGGCCCAGCTGGAGCCCTCGCCAGAGCTGCAGACAAACTTCCAGCTCTGCAGCATCGGCGGGAAGTTACTGGGTGCTCCCAAGAAGAAGGGTACTAGCCAGGAGGAAGAGGCACCACCACAGCCTGAGGAAATAGCAGGAGGAGACACTCCTCAGGAAGATGAGACAGTCGTTTGTGATTTCTGCCTGGAGCAATCTCAGCCTGCAGTGAAGACCTGTCTGAACTGCGAAGCTTCTCTGTGCCAAGCCCACCTGAGCAAACACAATGCCAGGGCCACCCAGAGCAACCATGTCCTGGTGGAGCCCAGCGCTGGCAAGTCCCTGGAGGAGAGGAAGTGCTTGGAGCACAGCAAGCTGGTGGAGTGCTACTGCGTGGATGACCTGGCCTGTATCTGTGTGTTGTGTTACATCGCAGGCTCCCACAAGGGCCACAATATCATCACACTGAAGGAGGCTTGGGACAAAGAACTGGTAAGGGGCAAGTTTGGGGGGGGGGGTTTAGGGCAAAGAATTTTGGGGGCAAATAGATGTATGTGCTTCATTTTATTGTGGACTTGGTTCCTGCATCTTGGGGCTTTCAGTGAAGTCCAGGAGGGTGGAGAGGCCTGGGGTTCAGGTGGAAGGAGCTCTCTGTTTTTCCCAGGTGAGGGAAGTATCTCCATTTTGAATGCTGGCTGTTGGAGGTTTGAGTGGCTGCAGTGACTGTAGGAAGGATGGTTTCATGTAAGGCTATGACTTGGGAGCTGGGTTCACTACCTGACTTTGCCACCTCAGATATTCAGTGTCAGTATACACCACAGGCACGGAATAACAGCCCTTTCTATACTACTTTACTGCCAGGGCTTAAGCTCCACAACCCATCACATTCAATCACTTTACAGCCTAAATTAGCTGTAACCCCAGAACAGCTCAGCAGTTTGCAAATACATCTTCCACTGTAACATACCACTTTTCAAAGTGATATATTAAAGTTCTGTGTCTCTGAGGTCTTAGACCTTGCGTCTTACCTGTTTCTCAGGCAATCTCATATCAGTTCTCTGTTCTCACAGTTGGGGAGCTCTCCGTCTATCTTGTTTTTCTCACTTAAGGGTAAAGAGTGCTACAAAAAAAAATTGCCTGTATTCTCTACTGGCATTTTTCAGGCCCAACTTATTTTCTGTTTATTCTAAATCCTTCGGTTTATTAAAATTTATCATCTGTGGGAAACTAATTCATTTTCTCTTAAAAGCTCCTTGGGCAGCGTTGTACAGTGTCTGAAATAATGGGGTCCTAACCCATCCAGAGCCCCTAGGACCCAATACAAACAACAGCATGACAGTATCTGAGGCCTGTGGACTTCTTGACTATTGCAGTTGTACTGCAGTCTCAAAGCTATAGGAAAAACAGTGTCTGAACTGCATTTAAAAAAGCTTACATGGCAGGGGGTAAAAGAAAAGAAATGGGTTCATAAGAGGGACTAAATTGTGTGCGTGTGTCTAGTGACAATCTGAAAATGACTTTGTTAGAGCTGCTAACTACAAAAGCCAAAGGAGAATAGTTTCTCCAGGGGTAAAATTCTTACAGTATTTGCTATTCAGCCAGTCCCAAATCTATAAAGTTGCATGGTGATAATAGTTCAAGGCTTTGAGTTAATTGGTATCACAACGTCATTGCCCCTCTCGCACGTATGTACATTGTGTTCAGATATCTCATGACATGTTTATTCCAACTAGGGCGTTCTCCACCAAACTGTGAAAGAGCTGCAAACTAGTGAAAGTGAATTGAATAAAAGCTTAGAAAATCTGCTGGAAAATGAAGAAAAAGTCAAGGTACGTCCCTGGGTACAGGCTACTACAGGGTTTGTGCCTTTCCAGGAAATAAATAAGCAACACTGTTGCTGTAGTGAAAGGTGCCAGCCTGGCAACTCTTGGGATCAAAGTCCCTTCTCCACAGACCACATTCAACATGAGCGAAGGCAGCAAGTAGTAGCTTTTGTTACATAGTTTTGCCAATGTCTTGCAATCACAACCTGGTGAAATTCTCTCTAAATATAAAGCAGGGTTTAGCCACTTTCCTTGACTTCTCTGCTTCCAGCTGAATAACAAAGGTGCCATTGCAGCTGGTCATGTGATAAAAGTTACTAGCCCACTAGAAAATGAATTGAACCAGGTTAATACATCCAGCCTGGCAAAAATCATATCACTGTTCAGGCTCTGTTCTTTGGGTGAGTGCTCGTTTAGTTAACTCTGTTGAATATTTGAAACTGCAACTGCCAAGAGCTTATTTTGTTCTATTTCCTTAAAGGCTGATGAGAAGATGCTCAGGGATCAGCTATTGAAGCTCCTCAAAGAGGTCCATTCTCAGGTGGATCAGAAGCAGAGGGAGATCCTGGAAGCCATCAAATCTAGTACAGAGGAGCAGCTTTCTGAAATTCAGAAGCGGAAACAAGCAACTGAACTGAAGAGAGATGAGGCTGGTAAGATTGTTCAGGAACTGCAGGCTTCGAAAAGACAAAGAGATGCTTTCCTCTTTCTCAAGGTAACTAACAGCCTGTTGCTCTGGCTGAACTGCTAGCATTTGTAGAGTTGGCTTTTTCCCTGCACTACAATAACTCTATTGTTAAAATCTTTTTTTTCCCCTTAGACATTTAAAGTGGCTCAAGACAGGTAAGGTCTTAAGCAAATATTACATTGTTGCTTTTGAATTATCAGTGTGTCAGCACAAATGCAGGATCACTGTTTTTTATCCATTTGCAAACATGCAGATACTAGTTGCTGTCAGGGCTGCTCAGGTTGAATGAAACTTTTATTAGATACAAAGTTAATTGCAATAAGCCAGGAAACACCATACCTAAAATATTAACTGTATGGGCGTGTGGCTTCTGAAGCTGCCCCATTTTCAGCATCCTTGGCACCTGCCCTTTTCATCCCATCCAATAAGCAGTCCTGGACTTACTTACTTACAGATTTCTTTGTGTCTGAACGAGGTGGCTAGGACTTGGGAGTCTTTGTGTTCTCCCCCTTGTTGCACTGTGCATGGCTCTCCTGCCCCTTTGTGCAGGACTGTTCTTGATTATATATATCTTGGGAGGTTTTCTGCTTCTCTGGGGAGACTTTTCCAGCATCTAACCAATCTCATGATTAAGAGAGTTCTCGTGATATCCAGCCTGCATGTTTAGCTTAGCTTTATAGAGGTTCCTGTGTAGCAAAGTGAACTGGAAGTAATACAGTATGGGTGGACTAGGTTGTCATCTCAGTTCCCATCTCAAGGCACACAATACATGGTTGATTACACATTTTTATAACAACCCCCCTTCAGCCAGTCCTCTAATAAGGTCACATACATATTTTTAAAGACATCTTTGGTTGCTGAAATCCCTTTGTTACTCTGCTGCTTCAGAAGTTATGGTGGTTCGCCTCCTATGGCAGGTGAATGTCAGGAAGGTTTCTTTAAACTGAACAGTAGAAGTTTGTCTTCAGTTTCTGGTCCAGTGCTTTTATGGCATCCACATGTGCCCTGCCACATGTTGCACTGGATTTTGATCTGTTGCTTGTAAGGGTTGGGGGTTGCTACGGAAACAGTATGTTCTATGCTTGAGGAACAAGGAGTCTTTCAGGGGAGCAGTTCCTGATATAGTAAATTTGGTGGAGACGTGCTCCCCTTGCTCATAAGTGATCCTTAATCCCAGGCATACAGGAGGAATGTCTGGCTTTTCAAGAAAGGAGGACCAAACCATGTTGGCCAAAAAGAAGGGTCAGTGTCCTGGATAAGATTGTGGAGGGAACCAAATGGAAAGCAGGATAAAACTTAGATTTTTAACATAAAAATCAAGTAAAGAATAAGTTTTATGGATTTCCTGTGAGCATGACCTGCATGGCTTGTACTGCTATCACTTGACATTTGCTGTGTAAGTGATTATTCTGAGTGTTCTAGGTTAAGGCAACGAGATTTCAAGGTAGATGACATGAAAATGCCGGCACCCGTTGTACAACTGGATTGCTTAACAGTGGAGAATATTCTAAAGAAGTCACAGCAATTCATCTCAGATGTACATACATGGATGCAAGTGTCATATAGTAAGTAAATCATTTGATTTGGTGACCAAAAGAGGTAATCAACCATTTGTTTGCTGTCAACAAAATGACATCTTGTTTTGAAAGGACTGCAGTTACATCCAGGAAGAGAGACCTATATGGAATCTGATTTGCTAACTTACATTTACTAATGTTACTGCTGCTCAGCGCCCGACATAAAGGTTACAAGTGCTGGGTTCAAATGTAGGGGATTTACACAAACTTTCTATTTTGGCTTAAGCCTACACCCAGAAACTTCAATAACTAGATCTTAAATGGGTAATCCTGAGTGAACAAACTTCTTCACTTGCAAACAAGTCAGTTAGAACAGGGTTAATTAAGGGGAAAAAGGGGACAAACACACAACATTACAGAAAACCTTATCTGTTAAGTCTCTCACTAGTATTGCCGACCCAACCCAGGGGAGCTACTACCTAGCCCAGTCTGGGAAGGGAGGATCGTCCAGGGCTGCCATCCAGAGGCTCTGTGGCAAGTAGTGAGTAATGTTAACTGCACTGGAATTAACCACCACTCTGCAGCGGGTTGCCACCACTGGAGATCATTGTCCCTTACTGATATCAAAAGTCAATATTATTTTAGCACTGCGGATCACCATTCATGGCCAGGTTGCTTATGCAACCCCAGCTTTTCTAGACCTTGATCAGCAGGCTCAAGGTTTTCAGCTCTTCAGTACTATGGGTGATGGGTTTTTACCTGACTCTTCTATAGGGATTTATGCCCAAGAGCATTTTCCCTTTGAAGACTGATAACCTCAGACACCACCCAATGGATAACTCTCAGCCAGAGCCTCTCCTACTACTTGCACATGTTTCCTTCACTGGGGATCTGTGAGCCACTGCAGACCTCCACATAGCTCAGCAAGCAGTGACCCCTCAGTGACCTTTGCCAACTTTCTTTTTTAACACTTATGCCTATAAACAATTTGGAAGGGAAGGCCTGTGGACACACAGTTCTGATGCACATGACCCTTACATTTGCACACTTTATCCACAGACAGTAAAAAGAGGTACAAGTAGCCCCCAGATTTCTGCACATGCATACTAATGAGGTGGTGCAGAGAAGGAATTTATAAAGTTATCAGAACATAATCAGGCACGGCTACACTAGCATACCCAGTGCTCCACTGGAGCCTCAAATGTGCTGCAGGCCACGGACGTCAAAGATATGCTTCTCCTAAACTAGGGGAGAAACTCATTTGGCCCTGTGGGCTGGGTCCAGAGCATGAAGCTGTGTCAGCTTGCCCATGGGGCTCCCCACAGAGCCACAGCAAATTAAGCAGCGGCTGCATTTTCATTTCCCCATGGGGCCAAATTCCTGGCCCCATGGGGAGTCCTGAGTACCAGATCCAGAGTGCAGCATCATGTCATCTGGCTTGTAGGGGTCCCTTGGGGCCAGAAATGTGGCTGTGGAAGGAGCGGTGGCTGCCATGGCTCCAGAAACCATGGCAATTAACACTGCTACCACCAAATCTTCAGCCCTGAGGGCCATATAACATCCAGATCCAGGCCACAGAGCTGGATGAATTTGATACTCCTTTTGTAGGCAAATATATGGATATTAAAATGAACTATTTCAGTATAAAATGACAAGTGCCTCTACCTTAAAGATTTACATGGGAGGGGATCTCCCATTTTGTTATTTCTATGCAGGCAGAAAAGGACGACACAAAGTGAAATGTGTAACTTGCCCAAACAGTCAAGTTTGGCATACATATCAACCCCAACCAACTGATTTGTTTTGCATAAAGTACTAATAATCCAGAACCATGCTTCTTGTTCTGTAGGAAGTATTGAGTGTTCACACAAGTATCTAAATTTTACTTTTTTGCTCAGTTCAGGTTGTGACTTAGTTTTTATTTTCTAAAGTATTTAAAATTAATTATAATATCAAATTCTGGCCAGTTTTTTGTTTTTAATTTAAAAAAAATCCTAAATACTTTTTAGAGTAAACTCCATGTCAATGCATAGCTTCAGGACAGATAAAAGGCTGTTCACTTGACCCTGAACATGCATTTATTGGAGTCCAGTGTTAGCAGTGTCTGTTAACTGCAGCAGCAGGCTGTGCCCAGCTTTCCACTCCTCATGGAAGCTGGTTATTATCTCTCCAAGAATGCCTTATGCCTCTAAACCAGCCTTGAAATTGAGGTGCCTTATCCCTCTACTTCAGACAGAGCATAATTATATTGCAAAGTACAGAGTGGGCCTGCAAGATTATATACATTAAATGATTTATGCACTCAATATACAGATAATCAGAGTCCATTACAAAGAAAGCAATAGGTAACAAATTAGGACTAGCTTTGTACATGCTTATCAGTAAGACACATAAATAGAGCCCACTGCATGGTATTTTCCAAAGCAGGGTATGTACCCCTGAGATGTGCAGAGGATTTGGTGAGGTGAGTATAGAACAGGGGTGGGCAGAATATGACCCGTGGGCTGGATCGGACCTGCCAAGGGATTTTATCTGGCCTGTGGTGGGTCCTTGGTCCCCCCACCAACCCAGGTTCAAGGGGACAGCATGAGCCATGATGCTTGCAGCCAATCCTACTCTCCCTGGGCGCCTGGCAAGGTGGTGGCGCAGTGGCTGGACTCGGCTTCCCAGCAGCCCCTGCAGTGGCAGCTTGCTCTGCCTAGCTGCCACTGCCATTGTCTCCACTGCCACCTCTGTATGCAGCCCCACTGCCCAGGCACCCACACCCCGGCCTGTCTGCCGTGCACCCACCACCAGGGCCACTGGATAGAGCAGGCAGGTGAGGTCTGTGTGGACACCAGCCCATGATCCCTGTGGGCAGGGTGTGCTTGGCTGGGCAGATGCAATGAAGCCACGGGCGGTTGGGAGCAGCGTGTGGGAGTGGGACAGGTGGGTGGGGCTGGGATCATGGGGCAGTGACAGTGTGGGGCTGGGACTGGGGCTGAGGCATGATCTTTTCCCAGCACACCTGTGCAACAGGTGCTGGTTCCACGGGCAGGGGCTGGGTATGGGACATGCAGGGAGCAGATCACAGCTCTACCTTGGCCCTGCAGCTCCCTGCACTGCACCTGGTTCACACCGTGGCTGTTTGCATCCTGGCAGCACAGGGCGGCCTCAACAGGTTGTGACTGGGTTAGGTGGCCCTGTGCTGTTGGGCTGCACCACTCTGCAGCCATGCCATACTAGGGCTGCTGCCATGCACCTCTGCTGGGGTGGGGGCAACAGGGGCCAGGTCATGGGCACGTGCTCAGCCCTCTTTCTGGATCAGGCCAGTCATGATCTGTCAGGGCTGCCCTGTGATGCCTGGCCACAAGAAACCATAGCACGAACCAGGTGTGGGTTGGTGTGAGGTCAGGCCTGGGGCACAGCTGCAGTTTGTCTCCTGCATGTCCCTGTGATGGGCGCTGGTTCAGCAGAGAGGCAGGGCATGGTTGCTGCCTGCAGAACCAATGCCTGTCACAGGGATGTGCAGGGAGAGAATCGTGGCTATGCCTCAGCCCCAACCCCAGCCCCACACTGTCACTACTCTGTTAGTCTGGCCCTGCCCACCTGTCCCACTCCTGGATGCCACACCCCACCTGCCCATGGCCCCATCCCATCTGCTAAGCCAGGCATGCCCTCCCCGCAGGGGTCAATCTCCACAAAGACCTGGCCTGCTCTGTCTGGTGCTCCCAATAGTGGGTGTAGGGCAGACAAGTCTGGGGCCAGGTAGGGTTAATTGCACCTTCCCATCCCCCTCCTCCCCTTTCCTACCTGCAACAGCTCACCAAAACTCCCTGAGTAGCCCTTCAGCCCAAATAACTGCCCACCCCTGCTGTAGAAGATTCATATATTAACACAGTTTTTTAACAGCGCACAGTGAGGTTGAAGGGGGTTTCATGTCCCTAAGGAGATTCAACTTTCAAATGATGCTTTACTGTAGCCACAGCTGAAGTCACAATAACAGTGTCCAATGTTTTTCTTCTTTTTAAGATCACAACCACCTGACCTTTCAAACTGAGGATAATAATCCAAATCTCATGATTACAAATAATCTTCAAACTCTCAGTATTTCTGTGAGAAGAGGTTTGGGGCCATATCATGTACCCAACATGTTCCCAATGGCACTGAGTTCACAGGCCTTTTCTGCAGGCTGGCATTTCTGGGAAGTGGACACCTCATCTGGAGTTTGCTGGAGCCTTGGAGTCACTACCTGCTCCTCTCTGAGGAATAAAACTAACATGTATAACTACTACTTGCAAAAAGAAGGCAGCTGGCTCAGTGTATTTGAAAATGGTACAGTGACTATAAAGCAGGAATGGGAAAAAGTTGTAAGAGTTGTGAGGGTTGAGCTAGATTGTGAAAAAAACATGATGTCCTTTTATGCGTCTGACCACATGCCTCCTGAAAAGGAGCCTACACTTATAAAAACACTGAGTGTGTATTTGAAATCCCCTTTCTATGCTGGCTTTTGCCTTCTTCAAGGCTCCCTGACACTCTTGTAGTGATAAAAGTGATAAGAGAAATGAGATTATTATATTGTTGGATTTCAGTCACGTATAGAGCAACAACAGTGATGTGCAGAAGGTTGAAGCTAATTTGAAATGCTTTAAGCAGCAGTTGGGGTTTGGAGCTGTACTGGAGGCTGTGTAGGCACCAGGGTGAGTCTGCAGCGGAGTTCTCCTAGGACCTGGAGGGAGGAACAAATATTGCAACTGTCAGACTGAAAAGGAAAGCACAAGGTGACAGGAGAAGTATATCACAGAAATAGATCTGCAGTTATTGAACAGGCCTATCTTTGAGAACAAGGATTTGTTTGGTGGGATCTTTTATTGAGACAGCTTTATAGTTGGGAGACCGTGCTAGACAAACTTTAAGGCATAAATTTCCTAGGGAGGTGATCTGAAGAATGGCATTTTGTGCTTGGAAGTTTACCTACATCTTCTCCTACATATATAGCTGGTTCTATAAAAAGATATTGCTAAACACATCCTGGTTCTCTCAGATTTCCTGGACCATCAACGACATCCCAATTATATCCCCTGTCCTTAGTATACAGAAATGAATAGACAAGAGCCTTGATAACTTATCCTGTGATTAAAAAAAAAGATAATCTGCAAGGAAACTTTTACTGTGTGTATATGTGTGTTTGATGGCATATGAGGCTATGCTGATTGAGTATCTTATAACAAAATATATTTGCAGGTGCCGTGAGTTTACAAAGACACTGTGCTGTCTATGCAGCTTCTTCCCTGCAGAACAAGCAGACATAAAATAGCAGAAAGCCATCTTTGCCTCTGCCTTACCAGCCTTCACCCTTGGCCTCATGCCCCTGTGTTGCACCTCCTAAAATAGTCAGCATAGAGCCTTGTCCAGTATGGCCAGTGATTAGAGCCAGAGAGAGACTGGGAAGCCAGAGAGAGCATGGCTCAAGATTGGAACGAGAGAAACTTTCTCTGACCCACAGTCCCTCTGTGCAGCCTTGGGTCACTTCAGCTCCATTTTTCCTCTGTTTGAAGCTCTGAATTAAGAGGGAAATTAATCTACTCTTGTAAAGGGCTTTTTCTGAATAAAAACATTGCGTGTGTATCCAAAGCCTTGGTAGAGTGGCTGTCTTTTGTCTGAGCTGTATCTCTTCTTGTTACTTGGCCTAGCCCACAACTTCTGGATATGAACAGTTACTGCTTGTAGGCTTTGCTGGGAAAGGGTGTGTGTCATGGTGGTGGAGAAGGATTGGTTCTAATTATTTAATTGCATTTCAGATTCAGCACAAGAGGCAACAGGTTCCTACAGTACTAGACCCCCCCCACCAAAATGTGCACTAATATTCCCAGCAAAGGCAATAATAAAGGAAGGAACAACGATAGTCTCATCACATGCTGACTTGGGGACTGGATAGGTCCCTTCCTCACTGAATTTGTAGGAAAGGCCTTAGAAGACAGATCCCTGTCAAGTTCATTTAAACTCATCTGTGGGGGGTTGCTGCATTGTAGGCTGGCCAGAATGACTGATCCACACTCCTGTGAGCCAGGGGGACCCGTAGAAAGCCAGCAAAATTTCTACAGGGCTGTATGCCAACTCTGTATCCCTGTCACCTGGGTCACCCCTACTTGCACATGGTTCTGATGATGCAACATACATCTGGACTATCCTTGGCCCCAGAATCCCTTGAAGGGAGATCCCTGTCTGGCAGGAGGCTCCACAGTTCAAGCCTGTGCTGTCTTTCCTACCCAAATTCCAGGGGATCAGAAAGGGGAGATAAGGTTGTACCCCTGCCCTTCCTCCCCCATAAGGAGAGGTGCACTGTATTTGTAAAGGGGAAGTAGGACACCAGGCAGGTCAGGGCCTCAGGAGCTCCAAGGTACAAGTTCTGTAGTTAGTAAGGAGGGGGAGTGTCCCAGCTGCCTGTGGAGTGTTTCGATTGAGAGTGTGGCCAGGGGTAGAAAGGTAAGAAAGATTTATTGACTTAAGAAAAACACAGCTACGAGTAGAAACAAGGCAAACGATGACAGACAAAAGCAATTCGCGTTGGCAACTTATTGGCAGTCCCTCTGATGCTTGATACACAGCAAGCTTTTCTTTCCACAAAGTTCAGCGAGGTTAGGTGTCCCCGAACAATGCTGTCTGAGGGGTACTGGGAAGGACCCTGGAATGCAGTTCTTGGGCTCCTCGAGGTCCACAGGCCTACTGATTCAGGCAACAGCTAACTAATCCTTTTCACAGAGCTGCATCTTCCTTCTGAATGGTTTCCAAATATTTCAGCTAATTTATAGCTTCTGAAGGACACTGATAACATACAACCACTTAGATTCCTTTTTCTTCAACTGTCCTTAGACTGACCAATAGCAGTACAAGCCTTGCATTCCTTTGATAAGGTAATTTTAACTGTGCCACAGGG